CTAAATCTGAAAAACAATATATTGTTTTGTCTAAAACATTAGTATATCACATCTAACACACAAATATACATATATACACGCATGCAAATATATTATTTTGTAAATATATTTTTGGCACTCTTTCTATCATGCACGCTCCACACAACCAGCTGTACTATGAAATAGATCACATAGTGAAACAAAAGTTAAAATAATGAAACGAACCTGGTCGAGGGAAGCCTTGTGGGTAAATCTGCACTGCCAAGGGAGATCGGATCACCAAATTCGCAAGCTTTGTCACAGGGATCTTATTTGGTCATCCAACTGCATAAAGACAAAGTTTGATTCACATGGAGGATATTGATGGTGCAGAAACATAAGTATTCGAAGCTTAACTATGAAATAGAAGATAGTGAAACAACAGTTAAATCAACAAGTACCTTTAGTAGACGAAGACTGAGATCTAGGGTTCCACAAAAGAGAAACAAAGAAGCAGGAGCGGAAAGGAGACAGATCGAAGAAGAGGACAAATACGAAGAGGAAATGGTTGGTAGTAATTTTTTCTTAATTGTTTTTAGATAATCAGTAGTGAAGAAGAAAGTGAAGGGTAGAGCTCTATATAAAGGGATTTGAGAATCTGTAGATTTACAAGAATAAGGGGCCGTTAGATGAAGTTGTATCCATCATCTCTACCGTCCAAAATCTGAGTCATAAAATGCCCTAGATTTTCTTACTCTCATTCATGCATCAGATAATTGTTTTCCAACTTTTGCCTGAAAATCGAATTAGAATAAACTTGAAAAATCTACTTCTTCCTATTTTGAATGTTTCTGTCCATATACTCTAATTTATTCAACATTTTTTTTTTATATGGTTTTAAATTAAAGGCACCCAAACCGCTTATTTGTTTTCTTTTTTCGTTTTGAATATTTGACTTCAGAAGAATGCCATCTTGTTATTATCGTTCGATACGACTGATAAAAAAAAACTCTCTTTGTACGGCCCATATATCTAGCAAATCTATTTCAGTGTGGTAAATTGTGTACAACGTTCGTTGTTAGAAGTTGGACAAAAGTTAGCCCAAAATCGTGCTTGAGTAGAAAGCCTTGTTTATCTTACGTGGGAAACTCTTGCATTACAAGTAACAAAACTACTATTCATGATCTTTCAGTCCGAAAGCACTTGTTGCAGCTCTCTCCCCGTAACCATGAGCTGCCCCCAATATGATATATTAACATATGAAGCTGTTGAATGGATACTGATGCCATGCTGCAACCAAAGTGAAGAGAAAGGAACTTAGTTAGGTTACATAACATTTATTAAGGACTATTGAGTTAAGAATATGTTTGTATTTTCAAACTGAAATGGAGTAAGAACTCAGATATTGAGTTAAGAAGCTGTTTGTATACTATGATCTTCCTTGGTAGAGAACCAGAGAGAAAATGAGGGGATCGAGAATGGATATTTTTTCCATTGTAATGGTGTGTAGAACATAAAAGTTTCCCAAGAAAATGCTCAAGAGTTGCTAATATGCTCGCTTGGGAACTATTTGTAGCTTAACCTAGAAGTGTGTGACGCAGTTAGAGTAATGCAAGTGTCAATATATGCTAAGATTGCTATGTGTCTCTGCAGGTGAACTGGCTAAATCTTAAGTAAGAGGTCAGTAAAGAATGTAACCTGGTCTAGGGAAGATTCTTCAAGCTGCAAAGAGCCTAGTCACGAAGCTCACTCACAGAAGAAAGGATTCTTCTGAGACCATAAACTACCCTAGCTTTCATTAACTCCACTACAGCATTCTTGAGGTTCTGCATCAGAAAAAAGACTTAAGTCTGATTCACAAGAGCTATTGATGGTCCAGGACATAAGACAATTAAGATCATGAATCAAATGCTATCTGAAAATACCTAAGATTATGGGATAACAACTCAGCCAGTCTTCAAAACTGACTTAAGAAAAGAAGAAGAATAAGCCACAACAAATCTAATTCACATGCTTTTCTCCACTTGCTAAGTTGAAGTCCAGATTCAAGAGAGATTCATGAGGAAGTAGAATATATTGTGCTTTTCTTTAATCTTTTTCTCATCAACTTAGACAAGCCATAAATTTTGGCAAAGGTATCAGCAGCTTCAAATGGAAAACTGATTCCTTGCTCTCTGCAAKAGAGGCATTTAATCGATCAAAACTTGCCAAAACACGCCCACGGATTTATCTGTTGCTGGAGCGAAAAACAGAATGTGAAAGGAACAAAAATAGTATGCCAAAGAAAGTGCAATAGATGATGCAGCCAAAAGTAAATGGGATTAAGCATCTAAGAAATTTATCCAATATATGATAAGGGAACTAATCAATATCTTACCTTCAGATACAAGAGGCAAACATGTACGCTACAATATCGGAATGCACACGTATAATTTAACACTCAGTACCTAGCAAGACATAGCCACATAAAATACGCGGGAACATTAGATTAACTTCAGTGGAAGAAAAGTGAAACAAAATGACTGAACTTGATGTTTTAGATCACTAATTAATTTACATAGAAAATTAGACAACAATCAACTCACATTCTTTCAGCTTGTTTCCTTTCTTTTTACATGAATGAATGAATATTGATTTCGCAATCAAGTTAGAGGCGCCTTGAATTTTTGGATAAAATCCCCAGCAGCTTTAAATAGAGAAGTAGATTACAAACTTATTATGGGAGAAAGAACATTTCAGTGTTGCATGATAAACTCTTCCAATGATGAATTGGCTAGAGAAATATTTTTTTATGTTTTACTAGATTCGGCTAAAGATCAAATACCAGAGCTGCTGCAGAGTTTGGATAATTCTAATAATGGCTTAAACGAATGAAAGAAAACATTGTTCATGTTGTAATGGCACAAGAAGTAGTAGAAATTAAACCCTTATATAGCTTGATATGACTAGAAATAACAAAAGATGGCATATCGGTCATATTATCTCGTGCACCTCCATGTTGCTGTTAGAAGAAGGCACAATAAAAAATAGAACCAAAATGCAATACTCTTTTATTTTCTAGTCCAGCATGCATATTAGGGTCCTAATATTGTTATATGTTTCTGCCRAGAAATGGGTATATCTCAAATAAGAGGTAAGCAACGATTGTAACCTGATCTAAGGAAGCCTTGTGAGTAATCTTCAATGGCAAAGTAGTCACAGAAGCCATAATTATCTTAGCTTTCCAACTGCATGATGACATTTCTTGAGGTTTAAGTTCTGCATAAGAAAAAACGATGCCTGATTCATGAGGGATATGATATTCCATGGTGTAGAACATAAAACAATTGCAATCTAAAAATACCTAAGATGGTATGTAAAATGAAATAGTTTTCAAAAGTGACTTTACAAAGAAGGAATCAACCACAAATATTCTACGTCAATAAGTTTAATGAATCTATCTTGCTTGGAAATAGCGAAACAATTTTCTGCTCCAGTCTAGCAATGTAACCCACACAGTTCTGATTCACCAGATTCTTCTTATGGTTTTTCTTTAGGGAACATGGTACAGTAACCCTAAACGTTTTCCGCATACCAGCCTGACTTATACCGAAAAGCATTTGCTTTTATTACAAATAGTATAAATGTCCAGACATATTAAATATGCCATGAATTTTGAGATAAGATTCAGTAGCTTCAGATGGAAAAAAAGACTTACTTGTCATTGCGCGAGACATTTAATAGATCAGATCTGGACAAAAACACGCCGAAAAAATTTCCTGTTCCTGGAACGAAACACAAGCCTGTCACGAACAAAAATAGCATGTCAATACCATATATAAATGTAAATCCATGCATACTTCACGGACATACATTCAATATGTTGGGAATCAAACTAAAATCAATTGCCTAATCGTACAGCAGTTATAGCAATTAATTTGCAGCAAAGCGGCTGAAGTAGATTACTACATAGCAAATAATTTTCAAACAAAATTAGGTGTTAATCAAGATCCTTCATATAGCTTGTTTCCTTTCTATTAAAGTGAATTTGTGGCTAACCCATTTCAAATCAATTTAATGGACCAGATTTACCAAAAACACGTCCATAGGATTCTTCCCTGGTAGGAGCAAAATAGAGCCTGCCAAGAAACAAAAAGATTAGGACAAGTTAGTGAAGCAGAGAATACTGTCAAGCGTAATAGCGACGAATAAACCCAGTCCGAGCAGTCATACAGAAACTCTTTATCCAGTATATGATAAAAGGAAAGTAATTAGTAGAAAATAATTTCTTAAAAACTGTTGGGAACATACAAGCCGCAAACACGTATGCTACTATATCAGCATACAGTTTCATGCACACGTAGAAAAAAGCGTACGTTACCCTGATAAAGTGCGAACCCATGCAAATTGGTTGGGACTCAAAACTACGTTGATTACACAAATTAATAGCAGTTAAAGAATTCAAGTGAGCTTTATAACACATGATTGAATTACAGACATTTGACTTATATCTGTATACCATGTTTCACAGCTGCGTAATTCTAAGGATAAATAACAATAACAGTCAAATAAGAGTGACCTTGGTTCTTAACAGTTGCAGCAAATGATGGTGCCTCACTTCGACAATGTCCTCTATATTTTTCTGTATAGTAACAACACAATCAATGTAAATAGTACCAATAGTAGCCATATGCATAACTAAGTGGCAGTAACTAATGTCATTCTACCATCTTGCTTAAAGCTATCCAACCTCATTAATCATTTTGGTGATTCGAACAGATCACCAGCAACTGGAGACAAAGGTGGGAATATGCTAGATTTCAACAACATTCTGTCACAGTAGAATAAAATAAAAGATCAGTAAAACAGAAGTTTTAACAATCTATCAAACACAATTCCATGACATATATAATCTCACACACTCAACTCTCCAAAAATATCATTGCAGTTTAAATACCTAAGATATGCAGTCCGGTAACCTAAATTGATTCGATTGTAAATCAATGAAGTAAAGTAGACAAGATAACAGCTGGATTATATGAAGAAATGTGAAGAGAAAATCATATTCATTTATCAATGGGTAGAACTCCATCGAGTTTATCATCCCATAGATCATCCGCTTCGTCTGAGCATAAGCCTAGGAAAAAATATTACTCGTATAAGCTTAACACAAGTAATAAAAGTATAAAACAACCTAAAAAAATCAAATATTGGGTTTGATAAGCCACGAGTTTATAGATAAAATTCAGTAGCTTCAGATGGAAAAAGAATTACTTGTCATTGCGAGAGATATTTAATGGATCAGAACTGGCCAAAGACACGCCGACAAATTTTCTGTTCCTGGAACGAAACACAAGCCTGTCAAGAAGAAAAATAGTATGTCAATACCCTATATAAATGCAAATCCATGTATACTTCATGTACATATTACATACGTTGGGAATCAAACTAATATCAATTGCCTAATTGTACAGCAGTTATAGCAATTAATTTGCAGCGTAGCGAATGAACTTGATTTCTACATTGCAAATACTCCAACAAAATTTAGGTATTAATCAACATCCTTCTTTTAGCTTGTTTCCTATCTATTCAAGTGAAATGGTGGCCCACCCATTGTTGATTTACATGAACTTTTTGATAAATTCCCACCAGCTTCAAATCAAAAACAATTTACTTGCTTATTGTGAGAGAAATATTTAATGGACCATGACTTGCCGCAAACACGTCCCACAGGTTTCTTCCCTGGTTTGAGCAAAACACAGCCTGCCAAAAAACAAAAAGATTAGGCCAAGTTAGTGCAGCGGAGAATACTACCAATCGTAACAATGATGACCATAAAACCAGTCCGAGTAATCATATAGAAACTCTTTATCCAGTATTTGATAAAAGGAAAGTAATTAACAGGAAATAACTTCTTAAAAACTGTCGGGAACATACAAGCCGCAAACGCGTATGCTACTATATCAGCAAACAATTATATGCACCATAGAAAAAAAAACTCTTATATCATGCAAATTAGTCGGCACTCAAAAACTACATTGATTACACAAATTAACAGCAGTTAAATCATTCAAGTGAGCTTCATAACACATGCTTGCTATCAAAGACATGTGAGTTATATCTTTATACCATGTTTGACAGCTGCATAATTTCTAAAGGATAAATAACGATAACAGTTAGACAAGAGTGACCTTTGTTCTTAACAGTTACAGAAAATGATGGCGCCTCCCTTCGACAATGCCCTCAATATTTTCCTGTACAATAACAACACAATCAATGTATATAGTACCAACATATGCATGAGTTAGTGGCATATTTTCTCTGAGATATCCAACCTCATTAACCATATTGGTGGTTCGAACAGAGCAGCAACTGGAGACAAGAGTGGGAATATGCTAGATTTCTACAACATTCTGTCGTCACAGTCAAACGAAATAAAAGATGAGTAAAACAGAAGCTTAAACAATATCTATCAAACACAATTCCATAATATATAATCTCATACACTCAACTCTCCAAAAATTATCATTGTAGTATAAATACCTAAGATATGCAATCCGGCTACTTAAATTGATTCGATTGTGAAATCAATGAAGTAAAGTAGACAAGATTAACATTTACCGGTGGGAAGAATTGCAGAAGGTTTTCTCATCCCATAATTCTAAGTACGATTAATTACAAATCGCCCACACTGCTCTGTAGAAATGCGTTTCACAAAAACTCGAATATAAGAGAGAAGTTAATCTCACCATTCGAGGGACAGAGACCGAGTTCGCGGCGGTTCACCGGAGAGATTGCAAGAGAAAGGATCCTCCCGAACCAAACCCTAACCCAACTGAAACGGGTCGATGGTTACAAGGATAATGATGGGCCCGATTAACCATTTAAATGTGCCATTACAAAAAGCCCTCTATTGTGCCACAAATCGGGTAAGTTTTTTTCACTTGAATCACAAGGTCAATTTCTTCGTCGTTTATACTGGTTCTTAAACGGCAGCGTTTTATAACTTATGAAAAAGAAAAGAAAGAAAACCAGCAAATGAAAAGCTCAACAACAAATGAAAAAAGTTACACATAGTTGTTAAACATCGACCTCGATAGAGAAATCATGTTCGTCGAGTTTG